GGAAGAAGTTCGCTCTGCATGTCAGCCACCGACAAAACTGAGACAGTGCTCGGAAAGTGTTTGTCGACAGTTTGATTTGCACGGTTTCAGCTAAGATGGAGCCATTCCGAAACCCTTACAGCTCCTATCCCATTCACAAGCATAAACTCCTAGAGCTCCTAAACCCTTACAGCTCTCGCCCCTGAGGCCCTAAACGGCCCTACGCCTTTAAAGCTCCAAGCGGCGCCAGCAGAGGCTCGGTGATATCGAGATTCAGTCGCGCCCATGCAAGGCTCCGCAGCTTTTCGGGTTTAGGCCTCAGGATCGTCTTGGTGATGATAATGTAAGAATAGGCTTGGGGTTCAGGGTTCAGGTTTCGCATTTGGGGTTTCATTGGGGTTTTCGCATTTGGGGTTTCGGGTGTAAGGGAGTTTTGCCTTTATGGTTTGGGGTTTGCAAATTAGGGTCTACTGCGAGGACTGTAAGGTTTTGCGTTAAGGGGTTACTGCTTGAGGCATGTCCAGACATGGGTAGTTCTGGAAATTTAGGGTCCGTTTTGAGGTCCCCAAACTAGTACGGCACCGTCATCGAAAAGGACAGAAGGGACCCTCATTTAGAGTACGACTCATACAGCACACCCACATAGTAATGACTCCTACAAGCTTATAGTTGCCCATCTAGGAGTAGCTTCCATAAACTTACAGCAACCCATATGATTAGAGAGGTACCAACATATAAACCAGAAGCGCTAAACGCTGAACCCAGGAAGTACCAACATAGAGGTATGCGAGTGTGGACTCAAAGACCTAGCTCTGACTCGTCAGGCCGCCCTTCGAGCCAATTTTATTCAAAGGGCTGAGCCCTGAGAGGAAATTAGAGGATATTAGAGAATATTAGAGGATATGAGAGTATGTTGGCTGAAGCAGTAGAAAATACATGTGTGCTCAGAAAAGAGAGGTATGTATGCATAAATATGTGTGTTTGTTTATGTACGTAACATACTAAATTTGTGTCATATGGTCCAAGCACCCTAAACTATCAACCCTAAAGGCCCAAAAGTGGTCTTCAGCTGTGGAGGCGTTGGATCCCGGCAACGTCCACGGATTCGGCAAGAGGACCGCCAAGAACCTGCTGCAAGTGGTGTTCGTGCTTAGGATTTACGATTTAGGGCAAGTCTTGGCCGGATGACGGTTTCTAGAATAGCGGAGCAAAGAAGAAGCACAGTAGCAATCGAATCATAATCGTGAAGCTCCCTGATAAATAAACAAAATGAAGCCGTGAACTACAAGAGTAGTCAGACCCCGCGGTGATTCGTTGTTGGCTGAACTGAAGGCAGGGGTTTCAATTTGTAAACGTCGAATTCCCTCTTTTAGGGTCAGGGGACTTGGTAGCCAGGGTTATTATTGGTGTAACTATACTGACTTATGACTATCATTAGCAAGCATATATTCTTAGATCCTTAAATGCTGAACTCTTCATTGATTTAGCGCCACCCTAAACCCTTGTGAAGGATAACGCAGCAGATCCAGAAGCTGCGAAAGCACGCTGTCGACCGCGAGGTGATCGCAGAGGCATTGGGTTTCGGATTTTGGGATACTATGGGGGCCCTTACGTATACGGGTCGAGCATTTTGGTGTAGCCCAAAAGGCTGTGCTAATCAAAAGGCCCCTATATTCGAGGATTTGGGGCTCTTGAACTCGTCATGGGTGTCCTATCTAATCTGCAAGATTAGCTGCCATGGGGGCCGCGACCGCTTGTGGTCTCTCGGTCGGAAGAATGAGTCATGATATGTCATGATCTCCCCTCAGACTTAGGGTTTAGGGTTTGGGACTGGAGTAATTAACCCAAATCAGATCCTCTTCTAAGTTTTCGGCCCCGAATAGACTTAGGGTTTAGGGCTTAGGGTGTGGGACTAGAGTACAGTAGAAGCGCAATAGTTGGAAACCCAATAGCCTCGATCCTTCAGAGCAACTTATAGGGAATCCCAGCACTATTTGGCCCTAATCCGGTTTCCAACTTTATGGGGTTTACTGTAACCCAAATCCTATTCTTCGTTGTTCAGCCCCGGATGTTAGGAACGTGTGAGACGCGCCCAGCAGAGGCTGCTTAGGGCAGCAGCTCCTTTTGGGAGTTTCCGAAAGTTAGGGGTACCTTATTTCGGGTCCTTATAATAAGGATCCTATTCTTTAGGGTGCTATATGAGGGTCCCCTATTTTCGGAAACTCCCATGTGATTTTCAGGATTTCCGATCGCCCCTCTCACACGCCAGTATGCCAACACTTGCCCAAGCCGGCACAGCGTTTGAAAGGTTGTTTGTTGCTCGCCCATTTGTTAGATGCTGATTGTATTTCTCATTTCTGCAGGCTGACCATGATTCACGTTGCCTTTTTCGGCGTGTAAGACTTCGGAACAGTGAACCTAAATCCTAAACCCAAAGGATCCAAAATACCTATATAGTAGAATGTAGGACAATGTAGGATTTCTATTTTAGGTACTACTATTATGATTTGGGGAAGTATCCCACTATAACACCACATAGGACCCTTTCAGAAACCCAAAAGTCCTAAGCCCTACCTTAGACTTCTTCGACAGGTGTTCGGCCTCACGCCCGAGGCGGTGGCCGACGTCGACAGAATTCAGGCGACATCTACTAGGGTGGTTGTCAAAATTATGTTCCCTTTTTGGGTCCTTATTTCTAATCTATAAGATATGGGTACCTGGACCCCTAGGTCTACTTACCTTTGGTTAGTAGGGAATGGAGGAATGGGGTACTATTATAACTACTATTATCTTCTACCATGCTTCCATTCCCTACTAACCAAAGGTAAGCTAATGCCTTCAAGCCTCAACAAACCCCTGAACTGTCAACCCTCGGGCTAAGCTTATATATACATATATAGGGGCCTAAATAATTACCTATATTGTCTTGGGGGTTCCTTACTATATTTACAATATAACGGGCCCCGAAACCCTATTCGCGAGGCCCTTAAACCCCAAGCCCTGAACTCTTGAGCTGATACAGCTACTAGCACTTCTGAAATCTGGGACATTGGTTGCTGAGTCGATTCCGAGGCAGATGTGGAGGCTTTCTAGTTTGGCATGGCTAGGTTTTATAATTTCATAATTAGAATAGAGTTCCCTTTAAAGGGGCCGATAAGGGTTACTACAAGGGATCTAGGAGTTTCCGAAAATAGGGGACCCCAATATCGTGCCCTAAATAGTAGGACCTCATCATAAGGATCCCAAAATAAGGTACCCCTAATTTTCGGAAACTCCAAACGAGAGCTCTTAGGCAGGGCCACGATTTTTGCTTCAGCCTTGGCATTCCGTGCCGGGACATTCCATGACCAGGCGAATGAGCGCCCCTGCTTTGGCTGGCATGAGGCCCCGACTGCATCCATGACGCTCCAGGGCTTTGATTTCGGTTCTCACGAGGGCAGGAACTGTAGTCAGTTTCAGCAGAAATTCAAGGATGATTTGTTTACAACGCCTTTTCGTGCACATCCCATTCCTGTGCTGAGATCTGGCCACAGATTGTACATCCCCATGCCTCTGAACCTGAATCCTTCATCCGTAGCCCAACCCAAGCGTAAACCACTGACCCGTTCACAACCGAAGCCCTAAACCCTAACCCCCCAAGCCCTAAGACCCTAAACCCTAATTCTTCCCTCCCTATGCCCTTAACCCTAAACCCCAAAGCCCTTAATCCCTAAACCCTATCTCCCCAAACCCCATGCCCTTCAACCCTAAACCCCCAAAACCAATGCAGCAAAAAAGAAAGAATGCAGCAAGTGAGTCCCTAAACCCTTAACCCTGAACCCTAAACCCTAAACCCCCAAAGCCCTAAGACCTCAATGCAGCAAGTGAGTCAAGCGGGAGGCTCACTACGTCCTCCTTCCAGCGCAGAGCACCGAAGAGGTCAAGCTGGAGGCGGCCCGGGGTTCCTTTTTTTGCTTCTTGATTTAGGGTTTAGGATTTAGGATTTAGAGTTTTGGAGCTTCAGGGTTTAGGATTTAGGGTTGAAGGCTCAGGGTTTAGTGTTTAGGGTTTAAGGTTTAGGATTCTGGGCTCGTGGTGTGGAGGGTTTGAGTGTGAGGCTGGAGTCTAGGTTTCAGGGTGGGCGGGATTTCGCGGCAGGGCTGAATGCTTAGGATGTGACGCTGCTGGTTCAGGATCTCGGGTTTGAGGCTGAGGGTGTACCTGGACCCCAAAAGTATGTGGAATAATTGCCTTTTATGGGCATTGGGCCGATATTTTACCTACTCTGGGGGATGGAGGTAGGTGTTTAAGGTACGGAAGTTGAGGGACGCAGCAGAAGAGAAAGGAAAGTAGCACCGCGGCAGCAGCAAAGCAGTAGTTTTGATGTTGGGCTTGGTGGTACAGCTACCAAGCATGGTCTTCTGGTGGTGACTATGTCGTGAAGTTGTATGTAGATCGATAGATAGACAGAGCGACAGCGATAGACAAAGATGGAGATGGATAAGTCGTGACTCTGTATGTTGACGTACCCGCTTCGGCTGCACTGCTACAGGGCAGTCAGACTTTCCTGAGAGTATATCAGGTTTCTGAGCAGGGTCAGAGTGAAACCAGCTGAAAGCGGCTAATGTTTAGTGCTCCCACGATGCCAATTCCCACAGAGAATGTGGAACTTGCCGCTCCACAGGCTTTTCCGTTTCACAGGCTTTTCCGTTCGCTTCATTGGTTAGCTGCCCTAAACCTTAAGCCCTGAACCCCGAGCCCTAAACCTAGCCGCAACCTAAGAGCAACTGTCGCATCAGTGGCAACAACTGACCAAGGCTACCAAGGTAGGAGAGAAGAGGACAAATGCGCCAAGACTACCCGAGACTGAGAGAGCACGAAGCCAGACCGCTCCAATATGCTGGAGCTTCCCTGCACGCGCCACCACACATCACTCTGTCCTACGGGTTTACTTTAAGCGTGGAGTTTTGGCGCCCGCCTCAGCCCTAGACCCTGAGCCCTCACCCCTAAGCTCCTTGCACCTGCCTCCCGCGTCTGCGCAGATGCTGCTGCCGCGTCGCTGGTCGCAGGACTGCAGATGCTTCTTTGGGTCACCCTCCTCACCCCGTGGGGGTTTTAGGGTTTATAGGCTTTTTCGGTTTACGATTGACTTTTTTTGTCTGGGGGGAGCAGTTTCGTGAGAGGGGTTGGGCGGCCGCGGGATGGTCTTGCTGTTGGTTTTGGCAGCTTCATATTGCTTGCCACCAGGCTTTGTAGGAGCTCCCTGAACAGGATTTGGAATACCATGATGCTGTAACTTATACTGATAAACTTAACTTTCCTAAACACGACAACTCTGAAAATCGGAGCCTCAAACTCAGCCACAGGGACTTTCGATTTCGGCGGCGAGAACATGTTCATTCGTCGTTTTTGTCAACAGCAGCCGGCCATAAAGTAACACGGAAGCCCGAAAAATTACCAAGACTGTCACTTTGGGATATTTTGGGTTCCTATTATGATCGTAGTATACTGTAGCCCCAAGCCCTAGTCCATGCAGTAAGGCCCCGAAGTAACCGACAGAAGCGAGGAGTGGAGCTTGTTGGTTTCGGAGCCCTTCCAGAGCGCGTTGAAGCTATGGAGCAGGCGTCCTTGTTTTCGCATCGTTGTGGCTCACAATCTGTGTGTTAATCGAGTTGTTTGTTCAGCATGCGATTGGAAAGTTGTTGGGCACAAGGGATACGATCAGAGTTTTGGGGAGGTTCTGCTTGCGGGTAGCATTGCTGGCGAACTTCTCTTATCTATGGGTGGGGATTTGTGCTTGGAAATCAATCCTTGGTTCTTCATGGTTTCGCAAGTTCAGTACTGCACAGACTCTTCAGACAAATTACATCTTTTGCTACTGGATATGTAAGCAGCTTGGGCTGTGGTCCAAATGGTTTGAAACCCTAAACCCTAGACCCTAGACACTAAACCCTAAACCCTAATGGTTTGATTGTGGTTTTGGCCCCAAGAAATGGCCCATCATCCGAGCCATCGTTAGTTGAGGCTGGCATTCCCATGTTTAGCTTAATGTAGGGGCCTTAATAATTGCCTGTACTATGTTGGGGGTTCCTTGTTATACTTATGGCCCAAAATCCTATTCTAATTATTAAGGCCAAGATACTATGGGTATGACAGGTTAGAATATGCTATACTAATTATACTGTAGGTTTCGAGGCTCCAGGTCCCTGAATTTGTGGAGCTCCGAGTCTCCGCCCCTTTGTGGAGTTCTAAAGTTCACCCCGAAGGAAAAAAATCTGAGCCTCTGCGCAGGACTAAGGCGCATGGCTTCAGATACTTAAAGGGTTTTGGGGGGTTTGGGGTTTAGGGTTTAGGCATGGATTTTGAGCGCCCAATTTCATATCTTATTCCGATCATGAGCCCCCGAACCTCAAAGACTCTTCGTACCTTTACACCCCAATCCTGTACAGCAATCAGAAGTATGTACATGAGTCTGTGGTATGTAAACTCATAACTACTGACTTATTCCTTCGTTCACGTTTGCGATCAGATTTGTTGATTACCCGTGCTTGTTCATTCATGTTTGCATTCCTGCCTTCCTGCCCGCCTTCCTGCCTGCCTTCCTGCCTTCGTCATTCCTTACTTCATTTGTCCATGGATTTTTCCTGCAAGCCCAGTCGACAAGCCCTGCTGTGAGGCCGACGAAGTTGCCGCTCCTCGGTGTGAAATGTCCAGCCTTGACCTGGGATGGGCCACTTCCTGAAGCACGGATGATGGACAGTATTCTGCACTACCACCTAAACTGTAGGAGTTCGGGCTAAATGTTTCCCATATTCATGGGTAACGCATAAACTGTCCCATCACCTTCAGTGTTATTCAATATCATCCGTACTGCTTGACCAATAGCAGTGTTACTCTTTCACTGCAGGGTCTCTCCGACCAGTATTATTGTTTCCATCATTGGCAGTTCTTCCTTTCTTGGTTTCTGTTTACGCCTAAACTCTAAACCCGAAACCCTAAACCCGCGGGTTCATATGGCGCTCCGTTCCGTGGGGTTCAGCCAGGGATTTGAGTTCGCATCCCCCAGGCCATGGCTCAACTTGTCAGGGTCCGGCAGGGTTCAAAGCGGAGAAAGACCCAGAGAGTAGTGGTTTAGGGGTTTAGACGTTTGGGGGTTTAGGGGTTTGGGGGTTTCGGGGTTTAGGCGTTAGGGTTTAGGGTTTAGGGTTGAGAGGGGGTATGTAGGGTTTCGGGTGTAGGGTTTAAACGAGTACCTAATACCGTGTACCAATACAGTCCGAATGTGGGGCAAGGTCGCAGTCGCAATCGCCCAGCTTGCACGTTCCCTCGATGCGTGCAATGCTAGGTTCCACTCTCCAGTTGGTACAGCATCTCTCGATGTGTCGCACCCTTAGAATCCTGGGCTGCGTCCAGTCTGAGGGTTCGGGACGGGGGGTGGAGGTGCCCTAAACCCGAAACCCTGAGCCCCAAATCCTAAAGGCCCTAAAGGCCCTAAACTGCTATATTGTAATAGTAATAGTATACAATAGTAATAGTACTAGTAATAGTAATAGTACTAGTATAGCTGCTCCAGGGACCTTTTTTGGGACGGGTTTTGAGATCGTCGGCTTCAGGCTTTGAGCTTTTCTTGCGAAGCCTCACTAGGATGAGCCAGCTCGGTTCCTTCGGGTTTCTATAAGGTTGTGGGTTCAGGGATTAGGGTTTATAGGGTTTCGGGATTTTCTCACAAAGCTCGAGGCTTCGAAGTAGCGCCCCAAACTGAATCTTTTTCTGGCGGGACAGCCCGCAGAGCCCCATCACAGGGTAGTTCTGATTGCACAGAAGCCTATGGCTAGTAGTAGCACGAGCCATAAGAAGCAAGTGATCGTAGCACATGTACTGCGAGAAGCTGGCTGATCAACAGAGCAGCCAGCACCGGAGCTCTTGAAATAATCTTCCAGTGAAGAAGAAGACCAAGCAGCAGAGCATGAACGACGAGCAGAATTCTAAACCTTACTTGGACCCTGTAGAATAATGGCCTTTTATGGGTATTGGGCCGAGAAAATTGTACCTACTTTTGGGGGTGTAGGTAAGCCCTAATCAGCACTCTAATGTCGGCCCGGGTTCTCAAGTAGCGGCGCCAGTGCAAGAGCAGCTACTCTGAAAGTGAAGCCAAGACGAGCAGAAGCAGCTCTCGATAAATGGATCCTCACCTCTATGGCTCTCGAGGTTTCAGTGTGGAAACCATTGTAAACCCTAAGCTCTAAGACCCCAAACCCCTAAAGCCCAAGAACCTAAATCCAACAGCCCTATATGTACACTAAAACCCTCTTCCATACTTTCTAGCTTTCCCATCCCGCCCCAAAGCCCTAGAGCCCTAAACCTTTCAAGCCCTATAAACCCTAAACCAACCATGTAAACTCTAAACCCTCTTCCATGCTTTGCAGCTTTCCTGTCAGCTGCTCACGAGGTCACTGGAGCTGCTTCGTGAAAGCGACATGCTTTAGGGCACACGCGTCTGGCGAATTCCGGCCTAGGGTTTAGGGCTTACAGGGTTTAGGGCTCTAAGGTTTAGGGATTCGCGTTTAGGGTTTAGGGGGGCGTACAAGTCTAGCGAATTCTGATGATGTTGGGGCAGAGTCTCCATATTGCAGGATTCCACGTAGACAAATCCTTGAGTAAGAACATGTTGGTTATTATATACACACACATATATATATACATATATACATATGCATGCCCATAAAGTCATATATATATATATATATATGTATATATATATATATGTATAAAGAGGTTAATTAATTACTAGGGCCTCAGCTCTGAAGGAGATAGAGTGCACCAACCCCGGAAACTGGAAACCTGAGAGCTTAAGGTCGCAACAGCTATCATGGTAATAGTAATAGGAACAGGAACTATGATGGTGAGAATAACGAGTTCAACAATGATAACCAAAGCTTAAGTCATGTTACTGTTTGTCCGTGGCATGGGCTTTGTCTCTCCTAGATACTTTTGTGACGAACCTCTCGGTTCTCATTTGGCAGACCATCTCCCTCGTGGTACCTTGTGCAAATCACAGGTGTCGAGGGTGTTTGTACATAGCGCCGAAGACCCGTAGTAGACTCGCCCTTCCTGACTCGAGGCGATTGAAGAAGCCGCTTGCTAGTGCAGCAGGGTCCATCACTCAAAGGCTTGGCTCAAATCGTCTAGCTCAGGGCTGCGGCGGCCTTGTACTGGGTTTGTTGCGAAGAGATGAGATGTCCCGAGCCTTGCACCTGACGTAAGACTGGGATAACCACTAGCTGCTTCAGTCTACAGTAGTCGTATGGAACTATGCGGACTGGCAGTCACGTTGAGTTACAAGGAGCTCCTGAACGACTTTTCGGAGGTCTTGCCCCAAGCTCTGGGATTTTCACACCGAACTTGAAACCACTGCATCTTGTCTGAGTCTGGTCCATACTTGGAGGATCATGGGACTTAGCAAGTATTGGCCGCAAGCCAAAACGTCAACTAATGTGACCTAAGCTTACCTGGTTTCGGGTTTGATGTTTAGTTTTAGGGTTTACTGTGTAAGCAAGGTTGAGGCTTGGGCTTCGAGGCCTTCGATCATGTCTACGGTTATCAAAATTTAGAGCTTCGCATGGATGGTAAAGGGTTTGGGGTCTATCAGGTGCATGGGTTCATAGTACGGCACGAGTTGAACACCGGTGTCGATCAGGTGTGGGATCAAAGCTTGGTGCTGAAACCATAAACTTTAAACCCTGAACAACCCTGAACCCTAAACCCTGAGCCCTACCCTAAACCCCAATCCCTGAACTGAACCCTAAGCTTTGACTGTGCTTCGGCGGCTCTCAACCGCTGCCGGCGCGCGAGTCCACTCTCGGCTCCAGGGAAGTCGGGTGCGAATGCGCCCTGTGCCAAGGACATCGAGCCCTAAACAGCTACCAATATTGTTTCTGGTGTTCCTTATGATAGATATAGTATAATCAATGAGTCCCAAGCTAAATTCATGAGTCCCAAACCCCTATTCTAACTCTTAAGGCCCCTACATCATTGAGTTCCGTCGAAGGTTCTATAAGGAAGCCATGTGGGTTGAGTGTTTAGGCTCAGTTTGGGGGCTTCCTTCAAGGGAGTTTCAGAAAACAGGGGGACCTTAATATGTAGTACCCTACATAGTAGGATCCTTATTATAACGATCCCAAAATAACGTACCTCTAGTTTTCGGAAACTCCCTTAAGGGTTCTATAAGGGATCCGGAAGGTTTTGGGAGGCGGTTGAGTTGGGCTGCTTCGTGGTTCTCTAGTTTGTGTTTGGGGTTTTTGCAGGGCTTGATGGAATTCAGGTTGAGATTGGGGCGAGGGCGCAGAGATTTGAGGGCTTCAGGTTGAAGGGGGCTGCAGTGTAAATTATGTTGCGTCCTGGGTTTACAGCAAGGGCCACGAGCATTTGCCTAAAGACATCAGACACAAGCTCTCTTCCAGTGGGGGTCTCAGATACCTAGGGCTACTCTGACCGGGGATCCTTATATGAAGGATCCTCTTATGTAGGAACTCAGGGTTTATCATCGGCCCAGGTGAAGCAAGTTTCAGAAGGACGCCTATGTAAAATACCCCTAAAATTTTGAAGCTCCCCCACTCCCCCAACCCCCGCCCCCCCCGCAGGGTCGTAAACCCCACAGGCCCGCCAAACCCTAAACCCTGAGCCCGAAACACTTAACCGCAAAGCAGGACCGATGGAGAACTTCGCAAATATCGTCGAACCCGAACCGAAAGCGAACTGCCCGGGCCTCTTTGCCGGAGGTCTCGAGGTTGCTTGTGTTGTGGCACGAATCGCTGGTGTGTGAACGCACCTATGCATGTGTGCTCCCGTGCTTTATGTATACTTGCAAAGTAAGCAGCTGTGTGTATGTGTGGGTAAGCAAGCACAAGTATATATGTATGTATGTATGTATGTATGTATGTATGTATGTATGTATGTATGTATGTATGTACAAATACATCTTATATATATATATATATATGTATATATATCTATATCTAACAGCTGTATATGCATGCATGTATGTATGTATCCTATCGAAAGATAGACAGATGTCATCTGGTGTCTGTGTGTATACATATATGATACACGGACAAACAGGGTGTGCGTGTATACATGTATATATGTACGTGCATGTATGTGTGTGTATATATATATACATATGTCTGATGGAGAACAGAAGGGAGGCAGGAGGAGATAGTGTGTTGCATTGCCATGCCGGCTCAAGCCGTTGTAGCATCAGGTTCAGGCAACACGCTGGCTGTGCAGCTATAGACTTTCAGAGGACTCTTTCCAACCTCAAGTCCCTGGCAGGCATGTCTCGGCCAAACCGCCGTGCCGCCCGTTTATCGGCCCATCTTGTTCCTCGTCTTTGCAAAGACGGATTCGGGGCCTGTGGCTGCAACTCGCCGCGGCAGAGTCATCAGGGAACCCTTGTTCCCACGACCTGCCGCAATGACCCAGCCACAGGGTACAGTTGGAAAGATGTTCATGATGACCTTGAGGCTGGCGTGTATGCAGGATGCTATGGTTGGGACCATGCTGCCTACTGGGGTATCGCTGAGGCCAAGGCGGGCGTTGACTTGAAGGAATGGTACAAGACTCGAACAGAGGCCGAGTTCTACCTGCCAGAGTTCAAAGAGCTTATCGATGACCCAGCAACTCACAGAGATTGGGATCGCATCTCGACCTTTGACCCTTTGGGTATGACCGCGCATCCTCCCACCATCGCAGCATGCAAGGCCAAGCTTGACATTCCAGAACTCAAGGACCTGCGTATGGACGGAGAGATCGTCCTGCCCTCGAACGAGATTGTCACATCAAAGTGTGCCATCAGCTACGCCTGGAACATTCCCCTCATGGCAGAAAGGGTGGGCCTCAGTGAGCAAGAGCTGCGGGAGGCACTGCACAAGTTCTCCCATGACAGCCGGCTGCTGGACCCCAAGGTGAAGACCTACCTTCCAGCTGTCGGTGGACTCACAATCTACACCTTTGGTGATGCACGGAAGCTCAAGGATGAGAAGACCGAAGTGTGCGTGCGCGTGCACGACGAGTGCATCGGCTCGGATGTTTTCGGAAGCGACATCTGCAGCTGCCGGCCATACCTGATTTTTGCTCTACGCGAAGCCGTCGAGTGTGCCCAGAGGGGTGGGGTTGGTGTGGTGATCTACTTCAGGAAGGAGGGTCGCAGCCTTGGTGAGGTGATCAAGTTCAGAGTGTACAATGCCCGTGTGAATCAAGACGGCGGCGATCGCCCGGAGATGTACTTCCACCACACCGAAGCCATAGCCGGCATCCGGGACGCGCGCTTCCAGACCATGATGCCAGATGCCCTGAATTGGATGGGAATCCGACGCATCGATCTTCTCTGCTCGATGAGCAATGAAAAGTATGAGGCAATCACTGGCGCTGGCATCCAGGTGGTGAAGCGTGTGGATCTTCCCGATACCTACATCAAAGACAGCATGAAGGTTGAGCTTGATGCCAAGATTGCCAGTGGATATCACTCTGATAGAACAGAGCAGGAGCAGCTGCTACGTGCAGCAGTTTCGTCGGTCGGTAGCCCCCGATAGTGGCAGTTGTACAGATATTACGCTGTCTCTGGGCTTTAACTGTTGCTGTCGCTTGCTGCTTTCATTTGAAGGAAGACTGGCCAGCTTGCCGCTTTTTGCCGTGGGTGGATACGCTTACTTGAAGTGGTCTGCCCGGGCAATTTCACTTTCCGTTTTGCATATGTTGGAGCAAGGGCTCTTTCACAAACAGACCTTCCGAAAGCATGGTCTCTACTCGGTGCAAAAGGCCGAAAGTAATGAGTACGTACTTGAAGGATCATAGGGCTTAGTAACTAGGGTTATTATTGGGGTAACTATACTTCTAGTTACTTATAACCCCCATTAAGGGACTTATAACCATACTTACAAAGTCCCATGATCCTCCAAGTAGCCAGGTAATGCAATGCTAGCTAAGCAAGCCGAAGCGAAGGCCTGGCATTCATCACATAGCAGGGAGTAGTTTGAAAGGGTGGATGATATAAATCCTGCATTACCTTAAGGACCCTAAACTGCGGAAATTATGGTATATTCCTTGTTCGGGGTAATGCAGGATTTATATCAGCAACTGAAGGTTCCTTTTGGTCATACCAGGGCGGAGTTCCGGACCCTAAACCCTTAACTTCGCACGGTTACAAAGCTCCAGGTGACGACTGCGCCTCACCAATCTCGAGCTCCGACTCGAGTGATGAGGCGAGGCCCTGTGTTCATCTTTGGCGTTCTGAGAAAAAGGGTGTTAGGGTTTAGGGGTTTACGGGTTTAGGGTTTAGGGTATCCTAAGGTCCTATAGGGAGTTCATCTTGGGTGTTCTTGGGGATTGCTTTTTGTTTTTATTCAAAGATGTACTGTAACTATCAAAATTCCAACGAGGTTATTCAGAACATTACTTTTTGTTTATATCCATAGATGTTCTGTATCAAACTCCGAGGGGCTTATTAAGAACATTGATTTTGGATGGTTCTCAGGGTGCTGGTTACTGTAGTATGGTTTACGGCCTGTAACCTAGGTCTTCGGGTTTAGGGTTTAGGGTTTAGGGGGTCCTTTTTAATATCCGAATGCAGGGTTTGTAGGGACACTACAGAAAAGCAGGGCGTGGTAGGGCAAGGTATGGATTGAGGGTGCTGGGTGGACGGCTTCCGGTATCAGGGCACTAATAACCCTAACCCCGTAAACCCGTAAACCCCAAACCCCTAAACCCTAAACCCGAAACCCCTAAACCCCTAAACCCCTAAACCCTAAACCCCTAAACCCTAAACCCTAAACCAAAGGGCCGAAGGCCCATGTTTGCCATGAGGCCACAACTCCAATCGCCAATGTGGAAGATTCTGGCCGGGTTCCACAGGAGGGTTTCGGGGGTTTAGGGTTTCAGGGTTTAGGGTATTAAGGTCTTAGGGTTTTGGGGTTTCAGGGTTTAGGCTAAACCGGGTTTAGGGTATTAAGGTCTTAAGGGTTTAGGGTTTCAACTCAAGCGTCTAGTTTGTGGAGGCTCTTCCCATTTCCTTGGGGCTTGAGGCATGCCAGGGCGCGGCCATTGCAGCACTGGCCGTAGTTTGCAGACCATGTTTATGTCGAAGTCGTCTGCTTGAAGCACTTAAACGTCAGAGTTCGCGGTCCTTGGTCTGACATATAGCAGGTGTAGGATCTCGGGCGCTCTGAGCGCTGCAATGTGTCAGATCTGGCTGTTGGCAGCCCCAAAACTATCCCAAACTGCAAAACACCAACACCCAACGCAGTCCTCTGCATTTCTCTGCGTTCTACGGTTGATGAATAAATCCTGCATTACTTTAAGGACCCTAAGCTATGGAAATTATGGTATATTCCCCATTATGGGTAATGCAGGAGTTATATCATCAACCGTATGACGCTGGAACCTTGAACCTTCACGCGGTAAGCCCCTGGAGGCCCCGCAGCCGCAGACCGAAGCTTAGGGTTTAGGGTTTATAAGGGGTTTAGGGGTTTAGGATTTAGGGTTTAGGGTTTAGTAAAGGGGTTTAGGATTTATGGGTTTAGGGGTTTAGGGTTTGGCAAGGGTGAACATGTAGCAGACAAAGGCAAGGAGAAGGATAGACCCAATCATCCCAAGAAGGGAAAAAGGCAAACCACAAAATCCGATACCCTGGATACTGCCCCCATATGGGAGTTTCCGAAAATAGGGGACCCTACTAATTAATACAGTACCCAAATGGTAGGATCCTTATTCTACGGATCCCAAAAATGAAGGTACCCCCTAATTTTCGGAAACTGCTACACCCATTTCCTTTGCGACGTTGGGCTCAGAGTCTCTTGCAGCGGAGGGAAGAAACCCTATCTCTCCCAAGTCCATGGTAGATAACACAGCCCTGCCCCCCCATAAGCTTGCAAGCCGGCCCCAGAGTTCAGAGTTCTTTTAGGGTTCTTTGAGGGCTTAGAGTTTAGGAGTTTAGGGTTTAGGAGTTAGGGTTTGGGACTATTGTAGTTCAGGATCTGTAGTTTCTTTCATCATTCAGTTGGTGGGGCAACTGTAGTTGTTTTATTAGGGTGAAGAGGCTTTTCCGCAGACTCTTGAAACCCTGCCAGAACCTGCACTTGAACTATGCCTTTTTATGGGCAGTACTGCCTTATATACCGTAAACCCCAGATCCTAAACCTTACACCCGACACTGATTCGCAGCGCTTGCTTCATGGCCGTCTCTGCCAGCCGGTGAAGGGCTGAAGGAGGCTCGTGACCCCAACCCCGAACCCTAAACCTCAACTCTAAACCCTAAACCCAACCCTAAACCCTAAACCCCCTCCCAAAGAGGCAGGTAGCTTCGCGTGTCATCGCAGACGCCTGATCCGAGGCTTCCCTGCGTGTAGTGACCGTGAAAAGTTGATGGCACAATGGCATAGATCCTAGGTAGTATTGCGGAGACCCCTTAAAGGGGACCCCTCTTGGCCCTACTCATATCCCCAAGGGTTCCCCTAATCCTAACCCATAGGAGAGGTTTCTTTCGTTGTTGCTGGGGACAAGGGCAGAGCGCGTAGCTTCGGCGGAGGAAAGGAGCCATGCAGAGGAAAACGTGCACGCTACTAGATGCCAAACCAAAATAGCCCAAACCTTCAGCCCTAAATCCTAAACTACTAAACCCCTAAACCCGAAACCTTGAAGCCCCAAACCCTGAAGCCCTGAACCCTAAAGCCTGGAGCCCTAAACCCCAAACCCTGAAGCCCTAAACCCCAAACCCTGGGATTCTAAAACCCTAAACCCTGGGATTCTGCTCGGAGGTTCTCCGATGGAGGACTACTGCTTCGACGAAGACTGCGGCTCGACTGAGGTTTAGGGGTTAAGGGTTTAGGGGTTAGGGGCTTAGATAAAGCTTGTAACGTCCCGACCTCCCAGCCTTCGAAGGTTTCGATGACAATGAAGTCGAGCTGATGGCATCATCTTTGCTTCAGAGCTCCTTACGCAGGACGGATCTGCAGTTCGTCAGGGACCTCGGCATGCTAAAGCTGCAAGAGCTTCATGGGTGGTTGTCAAAATTATGGTGACTTTCTGGGTCCCTATGATAATACGGCACCTAATATTTAGGGTACCCAGAAAGGGACCCTAATTTTGACAACTACCCTCATGCTTTCGAGTCATAGATCTCCCATACCTGTGGAGCTTCATGAACAAGAGCACAAAGTCGCCCCAAAACATATTCATACCCCAAAACAGGTACAGTTTCGGCCACAAGTAGACTCGGATTGCCCTATATTCCCGTGCTTCCACGCTCGAAACGCTTCAAAGCGCCCGATGCTGCAGGACACCCAAAATCTATTCCTTCTTCTCAGGCGGGTCGTTCTATGAAGTGAGCGAATTGTCCGAAGTTGGTACTATAGGGGCTGCGAGGCTTGGCATACAGGCACTGCTGATGACAAGGAAGCACATCCCGTGCACCCTGTGCGTCTTGAGAACTGATCCTGCGTAGACACATCGTTCCGGCGAGCAGCCGTTGCAACATGTCACCGGATGAGGTTCGACCCATGCTTATCCTTCAAGTTAAACGCAAAACAGGTAGCCGCATGGTTTATATATTGCAACTGCATAGGATCATAGTGGCAGTCCGGACCCATGCCCTCAACACTACATCTCAGACACCCCCCCTTGGCATTATCTGGATGCAGCCATCGGAGGCCTCGAAAGGTGGGATCAGGGGAGGTAGGATAAAGTATCCCGTATATAAGGACTCTTACTTGGGAATATCGCACCTACCTTCATCCCACCTTTGGAGCCCTTTGAAGCCAGGGGTGCCGCACAACCAGCATCCCGGCCTACTGCTTGGTGCTGGCTGCTGCCTCCTTGCTGCGCTTCTGCAGCTCGTCTGCAGATCGGACAGTGCAGAATCCGGAGACATAGGCCCACCCCTGGCAGTCCCTATATTTCCACTGTGCACAACGCTACTCTTGATTATTCAGGCCCCTATATTGAACGTTCTCAGCATACTCGCTTCCGGCTGCCCGCCTAGGCAATCCGAAACGAATTCAGTAGTGAGGCGGGCTTGATGCAGCAATCGAAGTGATGCCTCGCTTGAAGATGTGTTCTCGAAGGAAGCCGAAAGGAAATGCAAAGCAACACTTTGGGTCATTACGATGCTGACTGTATTTGCCTGAAGCAGGTAAGAGGCACTGCGCCGTTACGAGAATTCAAGCCGGGAGGCCTTGTAGGATACTAGCTTATTTTTATCTGGTTGATTTTAGCCGCGTGTCAAGCCGGGTATCTGCAAAGTAGTATCCATGCTTCTGTAGGTGGACCTTTGAACCATCTACCCGCCACAGGCTGAGCCAACTTGCCACACACGAGACTAAGCTACACCAATCAGTAAACCCTCAACCCATGCCATCATCCGATCATCTCTCCTTAAGCCCGTGCGAGTCGTGGCTCCAGAACGGAGCTCTCAAACGTTCCTGGTACTCGGGAGTATAGGCTAAACCCCAAGTCCATTTTCTTCAGTCTGAAACCCAAACCTCACTCCACACTGTAGGTCCGTGCTTGCATCCCAAGTTACCACCTGGAACCCAAATGTAGACTAATGGCCTTTTATGGGTACTGGGCCGTTATTTTACCTACTTTTGGGGGGGGGTGTAGGCACAGATCCGGCAGGCACTGGGTGGCGGCACGCAGAGAAGGAGGAGCAGGCTCGGGTTCGTTTTGCTGCATGGGGTATCTACAGAGGGCTTCTGGCTACGCTTCTACTAGGTCTAGGATTCAAAGTCCAGGGATTAGGGTTTAGTGTTCTTAAGCGTAGGGTTTAGGGCTGATGGGGTTGGTGATCTAGGGTCTGGGTTGAATCATCCGGCTACGGCTCTAATCTCTGACCGCCGACTTCTGTCATCGCGAGCACACGGCCAAACACGACGGGAACAACAAGAACCCTAAACCCTAAACCCTAAACCCTAAATGCTTGATAAGTTGATGTTGGTTTTGTAAGGCCGGCTTGGGAGCTCAGCACAGCTAACTCCCATCACTTCTTCACTTGCAACATCTACCACGCGCCCGCAGTCCTGGCACCCATGACGAGCATCCTGCTCTTCGTCTTTTGGAGCTTTGGCTGCATTTTGCGTGAGGGTGTTGGAATGCATGTAGGGCCATGTAGGGCAGTATTGCAAGAGAGTCCTTTGGGCTTACGTCATGTGGCTTCTTGACTCAACGGGCTTCAGGATTCGGGTTACTGTGTATTGTTGATGGGCTAGTGTTCGCAGAGACGTTGGCTACAGAATATGTGCCGACATCGTATCATGATGCCTTTCTGGACACTGCTTACACGTCGTTTGGTTCTTCATGCACTTAAGCACTAAGACGGCTGCGTTCACACCTCACTACTCTGTTCATGGCCAATCGAATTTAGTCGATCTCATGCTGCTATGTTGCCATTACTCTTCGGATTACCATATTTCTTGCAAGCCGTATTTATGGCTGACTTGCCGCTCCATGATCCAAGTCAGTTCAGTCACGTGGCACTCAAGACCCTTAAACCATCGTGGCCGAAGGGTTCAGACGTGAAAAACACCGGGCTGCCTTAGATGCTGCTGCACGGAGCTCTCACCTGAGGATGTCCTGGTACCAGTACTTCTCTGGTGATCCTTTTGATGCCTTTGCCGCGTGGCAGAATCGGCGAGGATTGTCTTTCGCGTGTTTGCTTACATGAAGGTTTCTAGCTTTCGCTTCGGCATTGCTTTGATGCGTTTGCTGAGTGCCTCAAAAGAGAAGCTGTTAGGGTGAGGGATCCATCATCGTAGGACTGGAGTTAGTCGGGTTCTTGATCCATCAACTTAGATCTCTGAGGAAGCATTTTTGGGCTACTTGGGCTCGGACGTGGCAAAAGGGTGTGCCGGTGCAGTATCTCAAACCAGGGCTTTGATGCAGTCTTCACATCGTCAGCATCTTCGCCTTCTGACTTCCGAACGCCAGCTTTCAGAGAATACACAACGCAGGACGGCGGCTGTGGGTACCTTCCTTGGCTACCTGAAAACTCGCACTCGCACAAGCCCAAGCGTTCTGTCTCACAAGCCCCGGCCCCTTTCACTTCGTTTCCAAAGCCTCGAGCTTCAGCTTTGTCCCAAACTCCCGAGGATCCTCAACTCTTGAAGCCTCTAATTCCTCTTTTGAGGTGGAGAGCATGACTTACTGCCCGCCGCCGGTCCCCTTAAAGGGACACTGCCCGGTGGGCTCAAGACCCTCGGCACTGTTCAGGCTTCCGGGGTGTTAGACTTCAAGGTTTCGGCTGATAAGCTTCGGCTTTTGAAGCCCTTCCGAATTAGCGTTTAGGGTTTGGTGTTGATGGACCCGAATTCACCCGTCAGTGCCCCAGGCCTTTTCGAGGGCCGCTGTGTGCCAGAGCCAGCGAGCAGTGCAAACTGGTCGCTTTCGGCCTCTTGGACCTTGCTGCGTATTTAGGGGCACTCATAGTATTGGGGCTGTCTTACAATTACCTGCTATCTCATAGGGTTTGGGGATACGAGTGTTTCTGGCTCTGGTGTTATGGGGATTTATTCGGGTTTTCGAGCTCAGGAAGTTTACAAGACTTCGGGGATCCGGTTGTCGGGGCTTCAGGCTTTTGGCTCCGGACGGAGCGCACTTTCGGGGCCTAAATAAATACCCATACTATTTTGGGGGATCCTTATTGCGAATATTGTATAATGGGCCCCCAAACCCTATTGTAATTATTGAGGCGCCTCTATTACAAAGGGAGCCTCCGCTGTCGCTCACAGGGACTGGCAGGGACAACTGTTCTCATCAGCTCTTCGGAGAGTTTTCTGCTTGCCGTTGATGTTATGTTTAGCTTGCCATGGCAGCTCTGGTTTTCGGGGTTTAGGGTTTAGGGGTTTAAGGGTTTAGGGGTTTAGGGGTTTAGGGTTTAGGGGGAAAGCATGGCCTTAAACTGCAAGCATGGGCTCTTGGCCTACAGTCACAAGTCGAAGATGCCTTCGTCTCAGTCTCCAGGCGCACTGTTCCGACAAGAACTTCGTAGTCGGGCGGGCAGCGCGTGCAGAGCCCAGCTATGCAGAGCTTCGGGTTTTTGACTTTCGGAGCTTAGCGAGGTTTGCTTGCGGGTCCTAAGTGCTCTCGGCATAGGGGATTCGAAGAGTGCATGTTCACGGGAGCTGCAGAGGGTCTCTGGCTTACGGGTTCCGATCCGGAGGGTTTGAAAATTGCTGCTACTAAATACTGATGATGCTGCTGGTGAGAGTGAAGATGGTGATGCCGATGACGGGGATGGTGGTGGTGATCATCGTAGTGGTCATGGTCGTCCGGATGAGGTCTGCAAGTGCCCTGGCTTGTTACTGCCGGCACTGCAACACCTGCTAACAGTAGTTGTCGACCGCTCCAACGATCTCTGCCCGCTACTGGTGCTGCTACGCGTGCTGCTTGCCGCTGCGGATGCTGCTACTCCTTCCTCCTCCTCAAGCTGCCGCCACGACGTCTACCACTGCCGCTACCGCTACCACTACCGCCACCACAAAGTACCACTACCACTACCACTAAGTACCACTACCGCTACGACTATCACTACGACTACGCCGACGAGTACTAATACGACTACGATGACCACTACCGCCGCTGCTACCACCACTACTCTCACCGCTACTACCACTGCTGTTGCTACTGCTACTGCTACTGCAACGTCTACTGCTACTGCTACTTTTACTCCTACTGCTACTGCTTCTGCTTCTTTTACTGCCACTGCCACTGTCACTGCTACTGCCACTACGACTGCTACCACCATCGTCGTCACCATCATCACACCAAAGTGCCAAGACCTAGAGCTCGAAATGTAGATCTGCGTGAGCACTGACAGGCATCAACGGCCTCAATGCATCCACTTCTGCCGCCGTCGGCATGCTGGCCGTCATCTTCTCGAGTTCTTGCATGGAGAGGCACAGCCATCGGCAACGGGCTTAGGGCTTAGGGTTTGGGGTCGAAGCTTGAAGGTGTCGCATCAAATCTTGCGTAGGTCCTGCGTGGCTAGCGCTTTTCCAGGCCTAGGCTGTGAAACAGCTTGCAACACGCAAAGCTGCGCCCCTATTTCTAGTACAGGAGCCCTCTTCCCCTTATTAAGGCCCCGATAGTAGCAGGATGGGCCGCAAGCCGGTACTTGTGTTCTTCCTGGTGGCCAGCCGCTTGGTCCAAAGCTTCCTCAGGTTTGAGTTCTCTGCAGGGCTTCAAGATAGAACGGTTCTTTAAAATTTAGAATACGGTCTCGACGTACTTTATATTTCAACAAATAGGGATGAACCCAGGCGAACACTCTTCCTGGCCTTGTGGATCCTAGTGAAGCCATCAGTCCCAGACCCCAAGTCTTAGCCCCAGAGGAGCAGATGCATGTGTCTGTTTTTTTTTTTGGGGGGGCTGTGTCTCTTTCATAACTCAACAGCAACACTGGCAATAACAGTCAGTACTACTAATCCCAATACCTCCTGGTAACCTATATAGCAGGTTACTGGCCCCAGTGCCCGGAATAGCGGATGTTTGGCCCGAAGACACCCTACGCCAGGAACCGGGGGAGCTTTAGGAACCATTGATGTCAGTAAATCGTATACATCACGATATTCTTATATATTAATATTAATACTAATACTATAGCTGTGTATATAATATATATATATATATATATATATATACATATATATATATATATATATATATTACTATATAGAAATAGTACTATAGTACTAGTACTAATATCTGTAATATAATATATAAGCGTAACCTACTATATTGGTTACCAGGAGGTATTCGGACCCTGATACCCTGAGACATATCATAAACCCTAAACCTGGGTGGGGTAATTGCAATTGCCGTAGCGAGGTTTAAAGAAGCATCGTTGCCGCCTCGTTCCTTCAAGCTAGCAGCTACCCTGCTGTGCAAACCCGTTGATCCCTGATCAACCCTGTCCTAAACCCTAGATCTTGAAAGCCCTAGCCATGAAATTGCAAAGCAACCTGTCGCCGAAGCTGCAAACCTGTAGCCCACAACCCTACCTGAAACCCCAGAGCCCCACAGCCAGCTTACTCGCCAAGCAACCTTGGAATCCGCCAAATCTGCAAAGCTTTGCCCTAAACCCGACAGCCCTAAAACCTTCAAAGTTTCGGCCAGCAAAGTGGCCTTCCGGCCGAATTCATCAACATTATATAAAACTGTTGATCGGGGTTTAGGAATTGGTCGAAACTGTTTTCTGACCTCAGTCTTAGGGGGTTATTTAGTAGCCCGCCAGCGATTCGCGATTTTGGCCCGGCGTGCTCCAGCTGCCAGCTCCTTCGGTCTCTCGGCCACCACCCTTCAGGGACTGCTTGGAAAGTCGGGGGACTTAGTAAGTAGTTAGTAAGTAGACTTAGGAAGTAAGCTAATCCCAATTAAGGTCCCCTTTAGAATACTTATGAATCTACTTATTACCCACTTACTAAGTCCCCCGACTCTCCAAGTGGGCACTTCCGGGACTAGGGGCTTAGAAGATTTGCGCAGCACCAGACCTCAGCAAGCTTCGTTTCAGCACCCTGTGTTCGAAGTTTTTGCCGGCTCGTGCTTTGACACATACAGGCTTCAATAATCCCAGGCTGTCTTCTTGCGAGAAGCAATGTTGGTACCGAGAGTTGTAACCTCGGGTGGGCCAAAAATGTTTATGAGATCAGGCAAGCTTATACCTTTTGTCATCGTTTCAACCCACGAAACAATCACAAAGCTGCGGTTCTGAGTAGAACGAGGCACATTCGGACTGGATGTCCAGCAAGGTTTCTTCGAAGGCCTAAGAGTGCAGATGATGGACCCAGCCGCCAGGTCTCTTCTATATTCAATTGATTGCCATTATATTAAATAGAATCGATGCAAGCTAGGGACATGGAGCTTGGGCCTGAGGAAGAACCGTAGCTGACCTTCGGCACAGTACCTTCTGGAACACTCTCGATACAGCAGCAGGAATTTCATGCCACGGGAGTACAGCTCGTCTGCTTGAAGTCTCGTAAGCAGTCGTGGCAAGCCTTCAGAAAGCAGCTGCCAGCCAGCCATAGTATGCCTAGCTGATCAGCGAAACCATAGGGTTGGGGCTTTACGATTTAGGGCTTAGGGCTCCAACGTGTTGGGGATTCGGCTTCATGGTGGAAAGGAAGCCCGGGATTTTGCAGTATGCAACACCTCAAATCTGAAAACAATATATAAATATCTGCACAGATGCACACAGCTGCATATGAGGCTCGTGAGCTCTCGGCGACGGCAGTACATGGCATCATCCTCCTCTGGCCGCCGGGCCCGCAGAACAGCTTGTGTCGTCTGGCATGTCAGAGCTTCCTTAGCTCTTTATCTTTTAGGGTTAAGGGTTTCGGTTGGTTTAGGATTAGGGCCTTTAGGGTTGAGGGTTTCGGGTGTTTTGGGTATAGGATTAAAGCCTTTAGGGTGAAGGGTTGCGGGTGTTTTGGGTTTAGGATTAAAGCCTTTAGAGTTAAGGGCTTTGGGTGTTTTGGGCTTAGGATTTTAGGGTGAAGGGTTTCGGGTTTTTTGGTTTTAGCATTAAGGCGTTTCGGGTTAAGGGTTTCGGGTGTTTTGGGTTTATAATTCGGGTGTTTTGGATTTAGGATTAAAGCCTGTAGGGTTAAGGGTTTCGGGTGTTTTGGGTTTAGGATTAAGGCCTTTAGGGTTAAGGGATTCGGGTGTTAACCGCTTTGGGATTAGGATGAAGGGCTTTAGGGTTAAGGGTTTCGGTTGTTTGGTTTCTGATTTACTAGTGCCATCCAACTGTCTGCAAGCCAGGCCAAAACCACACGACAGTTGTAGGCTTTAGCGGCGAGGAATGGATAATCAGTAGCCGGCTTGTTGACGGGATAGTGCAGGTTTGATGGCGTAAATCTTCGCTGGGAGCAAGAGATACCCTGAAGTTTGCAGTATCTTTGAAACTCATTGAATATGAATCGAAGTTTGTCTTCGACCTGGCTGCCCCCGCCATATACCTCGTGCTCCATCAAGTGTAAAATCCCCTCTGCACACAGATTCTGGAGAACTCCAAGGTTGAGGATGTGCATGGTACATCCTCGCCTCAGTGGTAACTTAACTACGAGACGGGGGGACCCCTAAATCACAAAATCAAATAGGAAAAGGTGATCCACTAGGGCAGGTTATAATACGACCAAGAGTCAGCATCCGGACATGGAACCCGGGGATGAGAATCATCGGGTTGGGGCTCGCGGGAAATACGTGTAGTAGTGCTTCGACATTCGAAAGTCTCTCCCAGGGCGTCCCAAACTGGGTATACAAAGGACCTTTGCCCGAGAGGCGGGCTGCATTGCATCTGTGGCATATCAATGCACACTGCCAGTTGCGAAGTAGCCCAAAAGCTTCTCGCATATATTTTTGATCACCTTTGTATTCGGTAACCGAAAACCGTGCCGAAAGTTCGGGCTTTGTCGAAGCCAGTTGCTTCTGTCTGCAGCTCAAATCAGAAGTTGTGCCACTGGGGCCATGTATTGGGCGACGTCCAAAAAAAGCGCAAGTAAAGCTCCATGCGGCTCTGTGGTAGATGGGCCGCAACGTCTCCTGCAAATGCGAAAGTCTTTACATAAAAATCTCCGAAGCCGCAACCCGGTGTACCCTGAATATATTCGCACCCATCTTAAGCATCTCCTCGCCAGCACAGTAGAAGGAGTTCACGACGAAGTATGTAAAGTTCTTCCTCCATGGATCACCTTTTCAGGCACGAGTACGAAATGATACACTTAAGGCTAGGCTTGCACATGCCATATACTAAACCCCGAAACCCTAGAACCTGAACCTTAAGGCAAACCCATAACTAGCGAAATACATCCGGCAAAATTTAAAACCAGGCCTTTGCACTTGTGCAATGTAAACGAAAACATGAGTGCCAAGAAAGAATCTCCCTGCTTCGTGAATTGAGCCTCGTCCCCATAGACCTGAACAGGCTTTCGGGTGCAGGGTTTAGGCTGCTCTGTTTAGGCTTGGGGCTTTGGTGTATAGGACTATAGCATCCCGAGCTAATTGCATTATTGTCCGAGGTGCGGAAATGGGGATGCTGTGCTCGTCGGCAGGATGCTGCTTGGCCCAATCGACATCAAGGGCCCTGAAGTGTCGCCAATATCGCCTCAGAGTATGCGGGAAGGTTAATTAAGCTAATTATAATTATTCGCGGGTTGATTGATTTGGAGGGTTCCGAATCTCAATAATGGGCATTGAAGGGTTCTGCCTAGTTGCACGATTTCCTCGTCCGGGATGTAGATTCGATAAGTGGACCAGATATACTCTATGTACTCGTGCGGGTCCAAAAATGGTAGAGCCTTCTCGACCCGTTGCTTTGGATCTTCAGGGTGCAGCAGCGGGACCATCACCCAGTTGAATGCCTTAGATAGCTGCTGTAATTATTAATCCCTAGGGCTCCAGTTACCTAAATAGTAGGTTACAGGGTATATAATATGTGGTTAGTAACCCACTATTGAGGTAACTGGAGCCCTAGGATTCTTAAGCTTATAAGGCTAGGCATCAGACCTATGGTTGGCGCTTTCGATTGGAATTGAGTTAAGCCACGATGGGAAGCTTCACAAATCGAAACAAATCGCGATCACAGTTCCCCAATCGCTTCTTGTTGTACATCTTTGCGACTCGGGCAGTGGCTGCACTGACATTTTCGACTCCTGCTTCCTTGCATGCAGGCAATACACAATATGATAATTGCATGCAATCAGAACCTATACACAAGTGCAGTATTCCGGGTTTGAAGTCCTTGACAGCTGCATAAGCATTTTCAACAGTGGCTTTCGCACTCTGACGGCCGTCGCCCAGCGACTTGAACCTAAGCTAAGCTGTAATGTAGTGTGATCATGAAACTGAGACTCAGTAACCAATGGATTCTCCGGGGGTCGCACATGTGTTGTGCCAAAGCAGCATCATCAGAACTATCCTCGCCATCAGATTCCAACTCGATGCCTGCGGGGGGAAGGGCCGGAGTACGACTAGGTTGGGTATCAAGCTTCAAGGATGCATTCTGCCGGGCTGAGGTTTGTTTTGTGGCAGCGAATCGGCAGCGGCAAGTTCCACGAGGCTCGCTCCTCTGGTTCCCCTTTAAAAAGCACTCAAACCTACAGCACGACTCGCCCTCTCCGGAGCTTGTAGTGCCACAGCCCGACACTGTATGAACTTGAAGTTATTCAGGATTGGGGCCCAGGATTAGGGTGTAGCTATATAGGTTTAGGGGTTCAGGTAAAGTCTAGCAGCAGCTTATAAGGTTGTAGTGTAGCAGCCCCGGACCGTACACCCACATTGTGCGGTTTGTTACTTCTCAAATGTACATGCACACAAGCACCTATGAGAAGGATGTTCGTGCCACCCAAGAGTGCATGCAGATATGATCCGTCTCCTGCGATCATGATCACATCCAAAACTGCTACTTTGCTGCCGTACCCTTCGCCTTGGCTTTTGCGGTAGCCTTTGGAGGCTTTTCTGATGCAGCTACCTTCCTCTCAGCCGCACGAACTGGCTCGGAAACCGTCTTGAACTTTTGCAATGCGGCCTCCAGCTCCTTTGCACGGCTGTACTTATGAAGCACATGAGAACATATCAAAATTGTTCTAGCTACCCATATATCATGCAGACAACATGTGCAACATAGAGACAAGTCACACGGAAAAGGGGCTCCATCTTTACTTCCGAAACCTTCTGCCCGATTGCGGTTGCCACCTTATACTTGACCTGCTCCAGGTGGATCTTGGCGGGATCCACATCCGCCAAAATGGCGGCCTTCATGTTGCTCGCCCTTGGAAGGATTCTGGTAGGTTAAGGTTTTAGGGGTAGGGTTCAAGTTTTAAACTAGTATGCTACATTGCACCCTGAAAACACCGTGCAGTCAGGTTATAACACGTACCGCCTGGTGGAATATTGCAAACACTGGAGCCCGACTCGCACCAATATCTTTCTAGATGATCTACTATTATAGACCACGAATCCCTAAGCGCTAAACCTTAAAGGAGCACAACACATAACCCTAAAGGTTATTAATATATATATATATATATATATATACCAAAATACCCCCGGCTCTGACCCTAAGGGTTGCCCATCCCAAGCTACACAAATATGCATTAGGATGCAACTCGAACAGACTATAATGGAATGCCCTGTGTCACTGGACAACCTTGCTATAGCTGGATTTATGACGACAAACTCGGCTTTACGACCCTTGAGGGTTTCGGGGGTAACCGGGCTTCTAGCAGGCTCCGGGCTATTGATTGGAGGCTAAAGCAGGGCAGGGTTCAGGTCTTACGATGACGGGGTACGAGTTTATGAGTCTAGGAACACACCAGCAGCCGGCGAGGACAGGATCTGCTTGAAGCCAGCATAGTCGATGATCTCCTTGTTGGCCCGCTTGTCCGCCTTGGCTAACTATTATAAGCGAACTGGATGGGCTTAGCTAGGGTTTTGGTTTTAGGGTCTCGGGTTTGGTCTTTCTAGCAGCATATAACCAACTGGGTGTAGGGTTTAGGGTTTTGGTGTAGGGCTTTGAGTTTTGGGGTTTAGGAGTTCAGGGTTTGGGGGGGTTAAATTATAACTACAGACATCTGCCTTGGTAAGCACCATACAAACGAAGTGGGTTGAGGGTTTTGGTGTAGGGCTTCGGGTTTGGGGGTTTAGGAGTTCGGGTTTCCGGTGCAATAATTGATCATCTGCCTGGGCTGGGTAAGCAGCATACAAACAAAGTGGCCCAAAGATTAGGGCTTGGGTTTAGGGTTTAGGGTTTGGGGTTTAGGAGTTTAGGGTTTCGGTGCAACATATAATATTTACTGATTACAGACACCCCCCGTGAAATCGCAATTCTATCGAGGTACTTCCTGGGCCTTCTCCCTCCACGTTTTTTCCTTCTTGGGCTTCGGCTTCGGCTTTTTGTTATCGCTGTTCTCGGGCTTCCCAGGCTGCAGGCTCGACTCCGGCATCTCTTCATCGAGCAAAGCATCCCTCAGCTTCATGAAAGTCTAAAGGTTCGATGTCGTGGAGTCTAGACTATATTGTAAGTTGTATACATGCGACAAGCCACATCGCTTTGTGCACATCGTTCTCGTCCACATCGTTTGCTTCGATCTGCATGTCGGCGGAGTTCGTGAACTTCTTGTCGGCGATATCCTTGATCGTGTCAAAGACCTTCAGCAAAGTCATGTCCTGGCAGATTGTAAAACCCGAAGCATAGAGACCCCCAGCATAATAGCCATATGAAACCTTTAACCCCGGCCCTGTCCTCGACTTTGCTAAAGTTAGGATGGGGTCGAAGGAGTTTTCCCGTTAACCTGCTGTCCAGCTCTTTGTGGCGTGCGTAGAGGTCGTTAGCGAGGTCGTCGCCTAACTCCAAGCGGAGGGCCCTTAGAGTCCGCCAGCTGTAAATCTCTTTGCACCGCTTGGATCTCTCGGACCTCCCAGCAGGAAACTATAAGCCCCAGCCCCGAACAACCTAGAGAATAACATCAAGCGGAATCAAGCGGTTTGGAACACAAGGGGTTTGGGGATCTGGGTTTTGTGAATCTAGGAGTCTGGGGCCTTGAATTGGGTTGAACTTACTCCATTGGTTGGTGTTGTTTCGGGTTCTGGGTATCTATGGAGCTAGGAGTTCCAGGCTTTGTGGTGTCTAGGAGTGCAAAGTAGGAGCCTAAAGCCTCACGGGTTTGGGGGGTGTTATTGTTGGTGCTTCGGATAGATCGAGTTCAAGGTTTAATTAGTGCAAGTACGAGATGGATTGTGTGGTCGAAATTTAGTCACTAGGGCGAGCTAAGGGGAACTTAGTTCAGAGGCCAGGCGCTTTCCGAAAGGCGAACATATACTTAGTAGTTTGGAGGCTAGGGAATTCCTGGACCTGAATATCTCGTAGATATAGTAATATTATTATGCTCAGTATATGCTCAGTATAATAAGGTAGAGGCTTCAAGCTCGCTTGGTTTTTTAAGATAATGATTCAGTGGGTTTAAAGATTAAGGGTACTTGTAGTGGCAGGGGGTTAGTAAGTAGTACTAGATCTACTTATAACCTATAGGTTATATATAGAGTAGATCTAGTACCCTAAATGGGGTGTTGCCCCAACTATAACCCTGGGGTTTGTGGCTCAGGGCGGTTGGCGGCCTCATGGCGATCACCACGGAGCTCTTCGACCATTCCGCCCGACAGGACAAGTAATGCATGTACATCTCGTGCATACGATTGGTGCGGTCCGAGCCTAGGTGCATAGACACATGTACATGCACACACGCACACACACACACACAAATACATATGATATACATTTATATGTATATATATATACATAGATATAGATACATATATATATATATATATATTAAATATTTAATACAAATGTATACAATGTATACACACATAATTCAACACGAGTGCTAGTCCAGCTAGTGTGTGCACATATAATCCTATACATATCATGTATGTACATGTAATTAAGCTTTAAATACATAATAAGATAGCCCACTCCTATCTACTTATCAACCTATACTGTTTGCGATAAGGCTCTTCGCTCAGCATCAGCCATCTTCTCCCGAACTTCCGGCGGCGATTTGGGGCCTTGGGTTGTGTAATCGATATGTTCATACATAGCTAAAGAATCCTAAACCCTTGATACCGAACGAAGCATTCCTGAGAAACAGGCTCCTCCCAGTGCGATAGAATCGGGCATAGAGAGCAGCTGGACCTAGCAACTTCCCGTACTTGTCCCTTCGCCAATCGTCGCACTCCGGCTCCTGCTTGACCATCTGTCCACCTCCAGCAGCCGTGTCTGCACCGCTCTGCATCTGGACTTGCTGTGGGCTTTCCTGAACCGGCGGATTGCTCTGCGGGACTTGCTTTTGGGGCTCCTGAACCGTGCTCTGCGGGACTTGCTTCTCAGGCTCCTGAACCGTGCTCTGCGGGACTTGCTTCTCGGCTTCCTGAACCGTGCTCTGCGGGACTTGCTTCTCGGCTTCCTGAACCGTGCTCTGCGGGACTTGCTTCTCGGCTTCCTGAACCGTGCTCTGCGGGACTTGCTTCTCGGCTTCCTGAACCGTGCTCTGTGGGACTTGCTTCTCCGCTTCCTGAACCGTGCTCTGTGGGACTTGCTTCTCACTCTCCTGAACCGTGCTCTGTGGGACTTGCTTCTCGGCTTCCTGAACCGTGTTCTGCGGGACTTGCTTCTCACCCTCCTGAACCGTGGTCGGCAGAGCACTGCCGTCCTCCTGAACTGTGATCTTCTGGAGCTTGTCGGCCAAGCCATCGTCAAGCTCAATCCCCTTGTCCACGATGGTGTCCGGGACCTCATCCTCCAAGCTTTCCCTGCTCATGCTTCCCAATTCCAGGGTGGTTGCCGAATCGAGGCTTTTCAAGGAGCCTCGCGACTCCTTGCCCTCAGACCGAGGGGCCGCATCGGGATCACTCTCATCCGAGTAACCCTCGTAGGCCTTTTCGAGCAGAACGTCCAAGGAATCTCGACTCAGACTCTTGTCTGACTGGAGGTGGCTCGTCATCCGATGGATGGTTGGATCCTTCCTTTCCCAGCGGCACGTGTCCGTAGAGGAGCTTTGCCACGAAGTTGCACTCCAAGAGTCGTCGTCATCCCAGCCCCGGCCAGCCCACCAGCCGTTCCAGGACACTGGGGTGTAGCCATACCAACCATGATCCCAGCCCCGATGCCAGGACCCATCGCACCACCAATCATCCTGCACCCTCTCCGGGGTAGGATCCACTGACATGGCGGCGCCAGGTGTCCCAAACTCCTTGGCCAGCTGCTTGGGGCCCAGAGGAGTCATTGACATTGGCGACTCCGACACCACTTGGCTCCCGGTGTCGGCTGCACTCCAGCCTCGATCGCATATATATATATATATATATATGTATATATATGTGTGTGTGTATATATATGTCATATGTACATGTGTATATATATCCAGTTACCTAAGGTTATTTCTGGGGAATATATAATATATATATACATACTACTATTGCAATTGTACTATCATATATTATATTATTATGTACAGTACATTGTGTATTATTGGAAAAAACAGGCACTAAGCCTCAAGGGTTATATATTTAATTTGTATGTATGTAAATTTGTACATATACATACCAATGCCTAGATCATGTGTGTACATGTGTATATACACACTACAGTACATGCATTCCATGCATGTTGTTAGCACCATGATATGCTATCTTATTCGGGGTTTAGGGGTCGGTATGAAATTCAGATTGGCTGCTCCTGCGAACCGGTGCTGGCGTAGAAGCGGGAGCAGGGGTAGTAGCGGTAGTCACCTCATGAGTCCTGGGACTCAACTTCATCAATCTGCTGATTTGATTAGGGGTCTAGGGAGTAGGGTGATCAGCCAAGGAAGGAATTGGGCATATATTCGATGCATATGCATATATGCATATGTATAGGAGTAATAGGGTGTAGGGAGGTTGTTATTATATACCATATAATTACCCTAGGGCTCCAGTTACCTAAATAGTAGGTTACGTGGTACATAACATATGTGGTTAGTGTAACCCACTATTGAGGTAACTGGAGCCCTAGGTTACTTAAGAGTTGAGGGTTGGATCAAACTAGAAGTTGTGGCCACGAGATATTTTTAATGGAAGAGAGGCACGACTCTGCTGCCTCGGAGGACTCCGGCTGCTTGGCGACCGCCTTCGGAGCAGGCGGGGCGGACTTCGTTGACACCCGTCTCGTAGTCCCACTGTCTGCTGCCGTGCGAATCTTCTTCATGTCAGGGCTCTTGATCGGGGTCCTGGGCGGAATTAACACTTTTACAGCTCTAGAGGCTTGTGGTTTCGATGATTGCTTGCTTCATGTTCGAAATAATGACATACCGAGAGTCGACTTCGCAGATGCAGAAGGTGGGGCAGGTGATTCTCTAATCGCGGGTGCCACACTCCTCACCAAAGCCGCCCTAGCTTTGGCCTTTGCAAGGAACTGGGACACATCGGCCCCGGATCCCGTGCAATTGGATCCATTTCCACGTTTCATGTCCTGCGTCAATTCCAGCGCAGGAACCCGGATTTGGGGCGTTACGGTTCCAAGGCCTCCTTTACGGTTCCAGGCCCTCTGTTACGGTTCCGAGCCCTCCTTTTACGGTTCCGAGGCCCCTCCTTACGGTTCCTAGCTTGCCCCGCCCAGCCACCCTATCCCTGGCGCACAGCACCCAAGGCTAATCTGGCCTCGACCTTGCAGAAAACCACCGAAAAAGCCGCAAACGTGCTCCTGCCACGGCTTCTTCTGCGATGCAGGCGAGCGGTGAGCCCCCAATCTCCTCGGAGGCACAAGGCTTCAGGGATTGGGCTGATGTTTTATCGGGTTTCGGACTTATAGCTTGGGGTTTAGGCTGGGGTTTGTGGTATATACACTATACACACATAAAGTCATAAATCATGTGTATATACATATATATATAGATAGATATATAGAGATAGATAGATAGATTCTATATGTAATGCTGTGTCACTATCTATCTATCCATCTATCTATCAGATAGATAGATGGATAGATAGATAGTGACACAGCATTACATATAGATTGGATACCGATCGATATATAATGGATCTAGCTATGGCAAAAAAGATCATGTATATATATATATATATATATATATATGTATACACACATACTAGATATTTAGCTAGATGCTAGATGATCTTCTTATAAATTATATTATATACAATATACACTTGGATACTATATATATATATATATATATATATATATATATATTATATAGCGACTCAATATGTACGTCTGAATGCACAAATACATGTATAATCCTATATATACTCAGTATATCAATCATATATATATATATATACACACATGTATATATACTATACATAGTATATAACTGGGGCCCTAGGGATACACACATATATATATATATATACACATGTACATATATAGACTCGGGATCGTAAGCTATAGCGAGGGTAGTAAGCTGGGCTTCGGTTGGCGAGCTTGTTGTAGGTTTGGGGTTCTAGGATTTGTGGGCGATTCCAGTACTAAGCAGCTTCGTTTCAAGAACTATCTAGCATACAACGAGGCTCTCGGGGCTGGTTTCGGCCATGGAATCTTCTAGAGGCGACCTGTGCAGAAACCCATTAAACCCAGACCTAAAATCCTGAACTTCAAACCTGCATTATACCTTAATGACCCTAGATCTGCGGGACTTATATTGCATTCTGGTTTATAATATAATACTTTATAAGATTATATCATCAACCATAGTACTATAGTACTAGCACTACTAGTAGTAGCAGAAAAAATAGTACGAGTAGTGTATCGTACATACTCGCACTATTAATGTCTGATCTATATAGCACTAGTACTAGTAGTACTGTAGTGGTACTGGTACCACAAATGTAGTCTGGCACGAACGACCAGGCTTCCCTCTTGAATGCCACGGCACATATTCCAGGGTACAGCTGGTAGGCGGTGAAGATCGCAGCGAGGCCAACCGAAGAGAAAAAGCGCCACATCACGTGGCCTCGGATGTTTTTTCGCATAGACGTCGACAGTTTAGGGATTGAGGCTTATGGGGGTGTTTGGGGGTGTTTAGCTGTTTACAACTGTTCCCGTCGAAGACCGAAAACCTCCGAAAATCGGGATTGACTGGGGTGCTAGTCGAGGTGCTGCTCACTGAAAGGTTTACTTGAGCAGCTGCTAACTCGATCGAACGAAGCAGCCACATGCACGATCCAAGCATGCAACATGTAGCATGCCTCTTCCGTGGTGTACATACGACAGCATGCAGACTGCAGAATCTTTTGGGCCTTGCTGCCATTCTCGTATAAATGCACCAGCCAGCGGCACAGCCGAAGCCCAAAATGAACAGCATGGCATATTCATGTGTTCGGGCAAGCGATCACCATGTGATCATATCAGGGAGGCCAAAACCAGATCCTGAATGGACCCCTCCTGGTCATTCTTTGGAGTGCTCGCTAGCTTCATATTGCAATTGCATTAAGTGCAGCAGTCAGGAATCGAACCAATCAGGACCATCCTACATCCTCCACACCATTCTGCAGCAGATTCGTTCACTTCACAGCCAGTTCGGCACGGCGCTGGGCCGTCAACTTCATCAAGGACTCTTTCTCCTTCTCGAAGGCATCCTCCACGACCGACAAGTCCTTGCCTGCCTCCAAAGACAAAGCCTCACAGCATGCGGGCTCTGGACAGCAAAATATACTCTCACTGACACCACAGGATTCACCATACAAAGGCAGGCAAGAAACAGCCTTTATGCAAGGTTGCACGATCTCCATCCATGTGATTGGGAGGCCCGTGTGCTTGCCAGTGATGAACAGCAACTGCGACACAAAGCCGAAAACACGACACATGTACACATCACAAACTGACCTGCATGAACATCCTACCTGCTTCTTCGGCTTCGTTGCTGTCGGCTTGCGAACGACACCGCACTCGTAAGGTCGGGTCCAATAGGGCATCACCTCAATATCATGAGCTGTTAGCAATGACTTCAATCCCTAACATCATCCTGGCTACACGATTTGTACATGTGATATTGCAAGCTGAAGCACTCGATAGTTCTCGAGTTCCGGGAGGCTCTTCAAGACCTCCTTCTCCTCAGGCGTCCTGGTTGACCGCTTTTTCGTCTTCGGTCCTTCATCGGCTTCCTGTGCTGGGCCGTCGTTGTCGCCATCGACCTCTTTCAGCTCCTCTGGATCAACTTCCTCCAAAGGCTCTTCGGCCTTTCGCTTCAGAGCTGCAGCTGCAGGCCGCTTCATAGCAGCCGCACTCCTGTATGATTGATGATCACGACACACATAATGAATTGATCAATTCAATTGCAACCGTGTTCCTTCCACGGCCACGGCCACGGCCACGGCCACGTCCGCCACGACCTGGCTTGTCCGTGTCAGGCGCCGCCTTCGCTTTGGCAGCTGATCGCCTCGGATGACTAAACATGCACACTCCAAAAATTATGGACATGCTTTGCCACAGCCAGCTAGTCAGCTGGAGAGCAGTTTCGACTGCAGCTCGGGCAAAGCATCCGTGCCCCCAGCTGCTGCATCCTGAAGAAGCTTCTCAGCTTGGGAGGAATCCCAGGCTGGAGCTTCGGTCACCAGGGGCTTGCGATCCTGCACACAAGGGAACCTATGCATACATGATACTGGCAAGTGCTGGTGTGATCCCTCTAGAAAGTCCTTCTCGCTGGTGCGATCCCCGTGCGAGTCGTGCTTGAGGTCACCGGTATCCTCGTTATATTATTGATTAGATTGTGGCGTACACACACACAAACTCATCGGCTGTCCTTATGCACGGGTTTCTGCTTCTCTGCTGACGGTGGGTCGGGCTGCGTGAGTGGGATGTCTTCTTCCTTGGAGGGACAACGAGATCTTTAAAGTGCATGCATTACATACACAAACCCACAACGAATAATTATGCTGCTGTTGCACCTTCGGGGTCTCGTTGCAGGCATCTCCAGAGCCAAGCGGGTCCTGCAAAAAAAATCGTTTCAGTATATATGATGAAGCATTATGCTGCTGGTGCACCTTCGGCGTCTCGTTGCAGGCATCTCCAGATCCAAGCGGGTCCTGCAACAAAAATCGTTTCAGTATATATGATGAAGCATGCATCGAAAGATGTATGTCCTGGAAAGAAGGCACTGGCGGATAGTTCTTCGGGTCCACTTCCTGTCATGTCTATAGCAGTTGCAACATGTACAATGCGAAAAGACCCTCGATGACAGAACAATTCATACTCGATCAAATACCCGACTAACACATCCTCGCCTCGATCTCCTGC